CTAAAGGGGCAATGAGCGACCGCTCCTCTCTGCGTCCCCATTAGCCAGCCTCCAGTGCCCTACCCCTAGGCGCCCTCTTGCTGTGGATCTGAATTGTACAGCTCCCAGAAGGCTGGATTCTGCTGGGGGTAGGGTGTGGGGTGGGTACAGTTCTTCCTTATTGCCATCCAGTGCACCAAGGGTCCTCTCCAACTCCTTCCAGACAGTGTCCCTGCCTGGAGGGATGGGCTGCGGGTTCTAGGCAGTGACCCTGCCTGGAGGGACGGGCTGCGGGTTCTAGGCAGTGACCCTGCCTGGAGGGACGGGCTGTGGGTTCCAGACAGTGTCCCTGCCTGGAGGGACGGGCTGTGGGTTCCAGACAGTGTCCCTGCCTGGAGGGACGGGCTGCGGGTTCCAGACAGTGTCCCTGCCTGGAGGGATGGGCTGCGGGTTCTAGGCAGTGACCCTGCCTGGAGGGAGGAGCTCACTGCCTTCAGGGTCCAGGCTGTGGTGAGAGCCTTGATGCCCAGGGTCTCTGGGTGGCTCCCCCTCAACCACCCTTCTCTTTTCCTCTCCACTTGTCAGAGCTCCGCCTGGAAGGGAACTTCCTGCACCGCCTCCCTAGTGAGGTCAGTGCACTGCAGCACCTCAGAGCCATCGACCTGTCCCGGAACCAGTTCCAGGACTTCCCCGAGCAGCTCACCACCCTGCCGGCGCTGGAGACCATTAACCTGGAGGAGAATGAGATCGTTGGTGAGTCAGGGCCCCAGGGCCTGCCTGGCCCCCAGCTCTCCCCTGTCCACTGAGCAAGGGCTCCCAGGGCCGGGGCTCTGCGAACACCCACAGGTGTGAGGGAGGCTGGCACATCCTGGTCTGAGATGTTGAGTGAAGGGAGTACTACACCCTCCACCCCTATGCCACCTGTTGGGGCTGGGCTGGTCACTTGAAGGCCTTGACGTGCCTCGCTGTGTAATCCTGAGCTGGCAGGGGGACCTTGGGTCACAAGCTCTCCCTCTCTGGGCTTCCCATGTGCCCGTTGAGGCTGACTCTAAACCCCTTTAGTTCTAATCCTCTGTCGACGAATTACACTCAGCTTCCCACTCCTCTGCCTGCTCTTCATCACTAAAGGGGCAATGAGCGACCGCTCCTCTCTGCGTCCCCATTATATGCGGGGTCTTTGAAAAGTTCCTGGGGAAGTGGAATGGCAAGATAAAGGAACTCCCCACCCCTTTCTGTAGCCTCCTCGTACCTGTTTCC